TATGTAAACAAAAGGCCATTCAACTAGGTGGCTTTAGAGACCAGAAATGTCTTCTCTCCTGGTCCTGGAGGCCAAAAGTGTAAGGTTAAGGCTTCAGCAAAGCTGTGATCCCTGCAGATGCCATAGGAAGGGGTCCCTCCATGCCTCTTGCAGCTTCTGGCGGCTTTGGGGGCTCCAAGGCTTGTGGCTGTATCATGCCGTGTTCACAGGTCCCCAGGGTTATTTTGGGGGCAACACAGTTCAAACCATTACAGGGTGTGTATATCTATAGAGATTGTAGGGTACCTATGCAGCTACATAAATACACAGAGATTTAAAAATCCATAGTTTCAGACAGACTCCCAGCAAGAGACAAATGGAACCTTCAAATTGAGAAAATCTGAGGAGCATTAAATAAAGAGACTCTTTGTCTAGCTCTGGATAGGATAAACAAAAACAACAACACAACCCAGAAGGGATAGTGGGTACTCTGAAGCCAAAGGGCAGAGAGAAGGGGGTGCAAGCAGAGCCAGGAGGAAAAAGTGGTTAGAAGAAAGTTGATCCTGAGAGGAGCAACTTTCTCTGGTCAGGGGAAGCCATCCAATTTTCTCCGAGTTCTGTCTTCCACGAGACATCAGCAAGGAGACAGAATAGTAGAATGAGCCAAAGGGATCCATGTATGTGCAAGATGGCAAGACATCATTTAGCAAGGCAGCAAGCACGTCATTTTTCTCTCTCGCTTGCTTTTAGAAACAGGTCTCACTGCCATCTAGGATGGGGTGCAGTGGTGCTCACAGCTCACTGCAGCCTCCAACTCCTAGCCTCAAACAACCCTCCTGCCTCAGACTCCTGCATAGCTGGGATTGCAGTTGTGTGCCACACACCTAGCCTGAGTAATTATTTCTCTTAAAAGAAACCAGAATTGAAGGTCAGAAAGGGCAGGATTTACAACTTTTTGTTATTACAGTTATATACAGCCTGGTCATATTGCAAAGGTATTTAAATATATTCTAAATGACAAATATTTTTGAATTCCTCAGAATTAAATATATACATATTTGATTCATCCCCTCTACCCCTCGGATTTTAGAATATAGCTTTTAAGTTTACTCTTTGCCTAAAATTAATTGTGGAGACAGGATGTTGTTAAGTAATCAGTGATGGAGGATAATACTATGTGATGTAAATTATAGAAAAGAAATTAAATACAGCTTACAAGGAAAGTCACATTCTCCTAAATGCATTGGTTAAAAAGTGGCAGGCATATTTGGCAGTATTCCATTCTGGTTCTTTGAGTTTTGCTGGTGGAAGAGAATGATTTATTGTGCTTTACAAGTTTGGTTAAATTGCCATATATTATACTTTGTCTATTCCGTCAAAAAACATAATGCATGTCAAACAGATGTAATTCTGTGGTAGAGTGCCCAAATCAGGCTTTGTTCATATTATAAATTATTCTTTTCCTATAGAAAAGATACACAAAATTTTTTGCTTTGGGCCACTAAATTATTTACTTATTTATTTATTTTATACTAAAATAGCTTGAGCCTCTTTTCCTAACTAAAGAGATTTAGTTTCACTGACTCATACTGTCCATGTATGTGCTGAGAATTCAAAAATATTGAAATCTAATTTACATTAAATCTTACTGAAGTAATTTTGTTTCCCTTGGCCAACTCCTATATTTTATCAAAATTTCAAACTATGAGGGTCATCTTTACTTTTGACTTGACAATGTGCAGTTAATAAATATTCCTTGAAAAAAAAATTTCATGTGGTAGAAATGTGGGTGAACTTATTCCTGTTACATTGCATATCTAGAAAAAAAATGTCCTGAGGATATAGTTTTTAGCACCTGGAAAGAGTTTTGGAGGCAGGAGATGAACCCTCCAGCACTGTCCCTGCCTCTGGCCTTCCCTTACATCTTGCATATTCGCTCACATTACATTTATAAAGGATATTATATTAATAATTTTTACCAAGGCACCAACTAAAAAAACCGAGGCACCAAAAACAGTTCAAACTGCCAACATGAATTTTGAGATCGACTATTGATAACACTTTCAGACATTTGAAATAGGATGGTCCCTAGAACACCCAAAGAATATGGGCAAAGTTCGGGAGAGAAGCTGTTGAAGATTCTTCAGTAAGAGCTGCTGGGATCCTGTGACTCTCACCTCCAAGGGCAAGGATAGGAGGTTCTGAATTCTCGCCGTGTACCTAATGAGATGGGCATTCACAGGGCCACCTGCAGAGATTGAAATGTGTCCTCTGGACCTTATGGGACACAGTGAGCAATCCCTGAATTGTGCCGGCTAATTCTTCAGATGAGGAGAGAAACTGGCAGGCTAGACTGGCCCTCGTGTCAAGCGTTTCTTCAAAGAATGAGTGATCCTGATGGACCCCATGCAGACCCTGCACCAGCTGTCTGGTGTGGAGTCCTCTTAGGTCCTTGCCCACGGGCGGACTGCCCAGAGTGTAGAACAGCTCTGGGCAAAGAAGGAACCTAGGAGGTAGGAACTGGAGAAGGGGTCAGTGACCCCAGAATAAAGCCCCTCTTCCAGGTCAAAGTACATGAGGCTTCTGAAGAACCCACTGGGTGTTCACAAAATCCAGATTTTAATGTGGGCCACACAAAAGGGTGTGAAGTCATTTTATAGCAGTAGCAGTTAGTTAAAACGTCTCTCTCCTCACAGTTACTCCTCCCTGCAACAAGTCAGAAAAGGCTGCGGAGGAGTGGAGCAGGGAAGGAGGTGAGAGGAGGCAGGAGCCGTCCCTCCTCCTGCTGCGGGCCCTGGCTGCTCCCCAGCTCCTGGTGATGCCTCACCATGGAAAGAACAGGGTGCATTCATTGATTCGTGTATTGAAATGTGCTTTCGAATTTCTGAATCAAGACTGTTTCGTTCTTTAAAATGACTCTCACCTTTTGAATTATCAGAGAATAATTAGAAAGTTCTTGAGCCTGTCACAGTTTTCATTCATGGACAAGGTAAGAACTTCCTCTGTGAAATCAATTTCAAAGGGATAACGGGAGCCAGTGACGGTGGCTCTGGGTGCCCCATGCACCCAGTGTCCTCATCATGCAGCGTCGCTAGCAGTCACTGGCCGGTTGTGCAGGCAGAGCCTGTTGGCTTCCAGGGGCAGCAGCTCTGCTCTTGCCACTGCGCGTTCCCGGTCTGGCTCAATGCGTGGCAAATACATGTTGCTAAATCAATAGTTTACATTAGTTGGATGAAAAATTTAGCATAGGGCTAAAATCTCCAGTATTCAAGTGAGTTCATATGTGTAGTGTGTGGCATTGTATGTGGGGGGGTATGTATGTGGGGTGGTGTGGTGAATGGCATGTGGTAAGTGTGGTGTGTGGTCTCTGCAGTGAGTGTGATGTGAGGTATGTGTCGTATATAGTGGGTGTGGTATGGGGTGTGGGATGTATGGTGTGCTGTGTGTGGGGGACGAATGGTGGTGTGGTGTGTGGTGTGGTGTGGTGGGTGTGGTGTATTGTGGGTGGTGTGTGGTGTGTGTGGGGTCGCTGTGGTGAGTGTGATGTGAGGTATGTGTCGTATATAGTGGGTGTGGTATGGGGTGTGGGATGTATGGTGTGCTGTGTGTGGGGGACGAATGGTGGTGTGGTGTGTGGTGTGGTGTGGTGGGTGTGGTGTATTGTGGGTGGTGTGTGGTGTGTGTGGGGTCGCTGTGGTGAGTGTGATGTGAGGTATGTGTTCTATGTAGTGTGTGTGTTTGTGGAGTGTATGTAGTGTGGTGTAGTATGTGTATGTGAGCTGTGTGGTATGGTATGTGTATGGTGTGGTGTGATATGTGGTGAGTGGTGTTTGTGGTGTGTGTGTGATGTGGGTGATGTATGTGGTAGGATGTTGTGGCGTGGAGTGGATGGTGGTGTGTGTGGTGTGGATGGTGGTGTGGTGTGTGTGTAGTGTGGCATGTGGTGAGTGGTATGTGTGTCTGTGCACTGTGGTGTGGATGGTGGTGTGGTATGTACAGTGTGGTATGTGTGGTGTGTGTGGGGTCTCTGTGGTGACTGTGATGTGAGGTATGTGTGGTATGCAATAGGTATGCTTGTGGTATTTGTGTGGTGTGGTATAGTGTCTGTGTGGTGTGTGCGTGGTGTGTGGTATATGGTGACTGGTGTGTGTGGTGTGTGTGGTATGGTGGTGTGCGTGTGGTGTGTGTGTGGTATGGTTGTATGGTGGTGTGGCGTGTGTGTGGTGTGTGAGTGGTATGGTGTGTGTGTAGTATGGTGGTGTGTGTGGTATGGTGGTGTGTATGTGGTGTGTGTGTATGGTATTATTGTGTGACATTATGGTATGTGTGTGGTGTGTGTGTGGTGTGTTATGTGTATGGTATGATGGGGTGGTGCATCTAGTATATGTGTGGTATGGTGGTGTGTGGTATGGTGGTGTGTGTCTGGTGTGTGTGGTTTGTGTGTGGTACGGTGGTGCGTGTGTGGTATGGTGGTGTGTCTGGTGTGTATGGTGTTTGTGTGGTACGGTGTGTGTGTGGTACAGTGTGTGTGTGGTACGGTGTGTGTGTGGTATGGTGGTATGTGTCTGGTGTGTGTGGTGTGTGTGTGGTATGGTGGTGTGTGTCTGGTGTGTGTGGTATGGTGTGTGTGTGGTATGGTAGTGTGTGTGTGGTGTGTGTCTGTGTGTCTTGTGTATGTGTATAAGCATCACATTATTTTACCCCAAGCCTCCACTCTTGGCAGGACTGTGACGCCTCCCTTCTCGACTCCAGGTCCCTCCCATCATGGAGGACAGGGCACTCAAGGGGACCTGCTCCCTGTTCTCAGGAAAGCAGCTTGGGAGCAAGCACGGATTTACACCTTCAGTCCCAGGAACACTGAGGGGCGGCCACCATTGACCGCAGCGTTTAAGGCTCAATAGGAGGAAGCCTGTCCTTCCAGAGTCCACTGGAAAATAACTCAGCAAAGTTAAGTCACATGGTAAAGAGAGAGAAGCAAGTCCAGGCCAGGACTAAGCAAACATGGGCCTTTGAGCTAAGCAATGTCAAGGCTGGCCGCCAGCCTCAGCTGTCCCGCAGAGGACGGGCTGGACCTCACAGTATTGGGACCTGGGCTCTGTGGAAACTGGGAGAGGCTGGACACAGTGAGCCTGGCAGGATCGCGTCCGCATGTGAAGGATGGAGTGTCTGCGGCGGATGGAGCAGGTGATGGCTGGAGGAATCGCCCTAGCACCTCATGAGTGCAGTCTCAGTGCAGGCTGCCTTAACAAAGCATCATGGACAACGAAGCTCACAAACAAACCTGTCTTATTTTTCACAGTCCTGGAGGCTGTAGAATGAAAGATCACAGCACAGAACCTGAAGGTTGGTGTCTGGAGAGGATTCTTTCCTAGCTGAGGGACAGCCCCTTCTGACTGTGTCTTCACACGGGGGAGGAGGCGAGGTAGCTCTCTGGGTGCCTTTTACAAGGGCTCCACCCTCTGACTTCATCACCTCCTAACTCCATAACCTCATCTCGAAGGTGAGGATTTATTTTCAAGGACACACACATTCAGTCCATAGCAGTACAACTGTCCTAAGCACAGACATGACTCTTAGGATTTCTTGCCATTTCAGCACAAAGCTTCCTGTTCAGTGGGACTTTGTTGATTCTGTCAACTGAAGTGTGATGAGGTTCCTAAATTTGGAAAGGAGAGCCTTATTCTCATAAAGGGCTACAGGCTGTGGGCTGGCCTTTCTGACTGCCTGCAAGTGTAGCCTCCAGTCAGAGGCCAGAAACAGGCAGTTGCAGGGAGGAGCAAAGGGCGCAGGAATTTATGCTGAACCAGGAGGTCAAACATACATATTCAATAAGCCATGGATAGTCATGAATATTTATGAGAAAACCCACAGGTTTGTGCAGGTGAGCTTCTTGCCTCTTCAGGGGACCCATGTTCAGCAAATGGTGGCCTTACATAGCATGATCAGAGAGTATAGTTCTTGGTTCTCCGATGTCAAAAGCTGCAGCGGAGAGCACCAGGACCCTTACTGTGCATCCACCTGAACGTATCAGAGCCCCTCAGCAACCAGGGGTCTCTTATCAGGAAGAAATGCTGGTCAGTTGTTCTGCAGAAACCCCAAAAGGGATGGTCAGCATCAGTGGTTGGTTGATGTCAGCAGTGGGTGGAGTCATTTGAAAGGGCTGGTTTCTATTTAGTGTTAGGGAGAAAGCCGAATCATGGTTAGCAAGGGAGAGGGTAGAGCCACGCATGGCTGACCTCTCATCCCATCATGGCCAGAAATTCAGTCTCCAGATTTACTCTTGGGACCCTTGGCCAAGAAGGGGTCCATTCAGTCAGTTGGATTTTAGGGTTTTATTTTTAGCTAACAGTTCTCAATGGCATTGGTTAAAGGACCGGACAGCTGTGGTCAGCTGGATGTCCATTCTGAGTACCTGAGCTGGGACAGAGCCAGGAGGAAGGTGGGCAGCCGGTGCCGCCATGCACTTGTGTGAGGTGAAGGCACGATTTGTCTCAGCTTACATGGAGCCTCTGTTTTAACATCAACTCTTGGGCACCCTAGGTGAAAATAAGTGTAGACCCTTACTTTAGTTCAAAATTAGCCTATGCTAATTACCTGCATGCCTTGAGAAAGTTTTGTTAAACATTTCTAAATAGAATTATAATTTATTGCCGAAAGTTGCTCCTGGGGAGCACATCCACACACTCATGTTTTCACATCTTTAAAATGAATTCCCACACAGTCTACTTGATTAACTCCATGTTATAATTTAGAGCTAATTCTCAAGGTATCTTGAGGTTTGAAGGTTAAAGACAAGACTGACAGGTTGAGCCACCTAACAAATACCCGGGGTTGGTCTTCCCTGCTCCCTTGCTGCCATCTCTCCCACGTGCACCCACTGCACCCAGCACAGGTCCCCTGACCTTCTCACACTCCTATAGTCATTCCGCCACCCCATTTGTGGTGGCCTTCAACATTTCATTCTATTTACATTCTCAAAGATTCGTAGAATGAAAGCATGAAGACATGAACACACTTCGTTTCCCCTCTAAGCTTTGAAAGCCTTGTTTTCAGCTCCTTAGTAATTCTGTTTTGATCACAACAGATACAAGCCTACAAGAAGTGTTACCCAGAGGCCTACCCCTGAGATAAGGCATTTCAACTTCCCAGTACCCACAAAGATAAGGGAACCTAACAAAAATAAGATTCACAAATATCCTCTCTCCAACATTTATAGTCATTCATTTATTTGCAATGTAAGACTGTGATTTTGTTGAGTATTTATTCATTTACCTCATCCACGATTTCTTTCTCATAGGTATACTGTTATTAAACATCTTCTACTGCATACCTATTCATACACTGATTAATAGGCATCATAATAAACCATCTCATAGATATTCAAGCTCTTTTTAACACATGGATAAGAATCCACTGACTAATACAAATTATCAATTAGTTCAAAGTCCTCCAGACATACTGTACTTGTATTAAATACAGACAAAAAAAATTTAGATGTCTGTTGGTGTCTGCCCCTTTCAACTTCATAACTCTTCAGGAGACTCATGTTCAAAAACTGGCGGCCTTAGTCAGCATGATCAGAGGGTGTAGTTGATGTCCACAGGTGCAGAAGAGGACAGGAAGACCCTGACCTCGCATCCACCCAAACTTGTTAGAGCCACTCGGTGGCCGTGGTATCTTATTAGGAAGAAATGCTGGTGAGACGTTCCGTGGAAACCGCACGGGGATATTCATTGCCAATTTTCATACTCTAAAACACTTTAGTTGGAAATAAAAATACAGGTTAAAAACTCTCATTGGATAAAAAAGGGGAAAGTTCTACTGGAAATTCATTCATCCATGGCTCTATTTAAATTAGGAGATCAAAACGTATGACAAAGTAAGGGAATGTCTGGTGAAAGAGTATTCGCATCCACCTGGTGTTACATTGCTTATCTCTTCTTTCTCTGGTCATCCTGCCTGGATTTCCTGGTGGTTCTGCTCATAGCTCTGTAGCCTGTTCCAACACTGGCGGAAAGTCCATTACCAGGCATCGCTCCACCATCCTCCTGAGACCACACCCAGTGGCCTCACCATGACTGTCAGCATATACAGGGAGGGCTTGGGAGTTATTCTAGAGTTAGAGCAATTCTAACTCTACAATAACTAGGGCAGAATACTCTCCCAAAGTTACCTGATGTGAAGTCATTTCATAATATTAATGATAACGCACTGCAAATCCCAAAATGACCACTTGTTTGAGTTTCACTTTATAACCTGTGCCTTGGTGTGATGTAGCTGCAGTTACAGTAACTATTATAAAGTATTGGCATCGATACCTTAATCCTAGCACTTTTTAAAGCAGAGGCAGGCTTCCATATAAGACTTGACTTGCTCTTCCTTGCCTTACGCCATGATTGTGAAGCTTTCCCAGTCACCTGGAACTCATCCACAAAGAAGGATGTCAATGTCTCTGGCAAAAATGGTCATTTACGACAGTGTGCTGTGTACCGGGGGTTTTCCCTTGTGTATTTCATCATACAAAAGACTTATTCCAGGAGTTTATATTACAAGTTGGCATCGGAGCAGCTGCAGAACCAACCCGAGGCACAGGAAGCTCTGGACCCTCCTGTCAACATCCACTATCTCAAGCTCACGGGCAAGGACAACTTTGTGGACATTGCTGATGCCAAGTTGAAGATTCCTGTCTCTGGATCCAAATCAGAGGGTCATCTCCACGTCCACTCAACCAGGAGTGGCCCCTGTCAGAGGTGGCACCTTGACTAGGTCTTAGAGCTCAAGGATGGTCAGCAGATTCCTGTGTTCAACCTCAGTGGGGAAAATGGTGATGAAGTGAAAAAGGAGTAGAGAAGACCCAGAAGACCCAGCTTGCTTCTAGTCCAGCCTTTCCTCATCTTCACCATCTGCCCACTGGTGTGGTGGCCCATCTGAGTGACAGATACTCCTGCAAGCCAGTTTTTCAGCCACCAGTAGGATGACTGTATGTGCCATCATATGGTAATTTTGGTATAACTCTAACTTGGGCACAACAAATGCTATTTGTCATTTTTAAACTGAATCAGAAAGAAACTCTTATAAATTTAAGATGATTTATTTGAAAGTGATTTGTATAAAAATGCACACGATAAAAGGAATCAGAATTTAAAAAAAAGTTCGTTAAAAAAAAAGTATTGGCATCAAAGACAGAGTTGAAGGGACAAATGAGTTATTTAAATAAATTAGAGAACAGAGGAGATAGAGTCTTCCGTACCCCCAAGACCGTGGCCTGTTCACTTTGGTTATCTATTTGTAAATCGTTTGATATAACTTATTGTGTTAAGGTTAGAAAAACAGGTGTTGGGATGAAAGCAGTCCTGTTGATCTTAAAAGACCCTGTCCTTCCTGGCATTGATCCAAAAGGAAAGCATTCTATTTGAATGCTCAGTTACGTCTATCCTCAAGACCCTGTGAGTGTGAGTGTGTTTTCATAGGCACTAAGCAAACCAACTTTAGTTTGAGCACAACTCAGGACTCAAAGCCAGTTTCCAATAGGTTGAGCAAGAAGCCTGCCTATCTCACCCCGTGTCTGGGTGCAGTTGAGATTATGGCTTCCAGGACAATATGGAGTTAATTGCTTCTCATTTTTTCTTTCTGTTTCAGACAGGAACAAATGAGAGATCAGGACTTCAAGAAAGAGAATGAACCTGGGAGATAATTTAAATGTCATTAATTCGTTGAGATTCTTAATCTTATTTTTCTGAATAGTTGATTAAGTAGGTAGTAACCCTTTTGCTTAGACACCTGGGAACATCTCAGAAACTTGATAAACTTTCTCAGCTCCTCATGGGCAAGGCTTCTTTTAGAATGATTTACATCTGTTAATAAACTTGTAAATTATTCATTTTTTGATTAATATGCTAATTAAACATTTACTGTTAAAAAGGTACAAATATCTTTCATTGTCTAAAGTAATTAGAATAAGTAGTTATTTAAGCATTAGAATTCTGATGTTAAATAATTACTATGAGAGAAAAGGGAAGGAGAAGATATAAAAATATGCTTGATATAATTTCAACTGTTGGACCAAATGAAAATATTTCATGTTGTTTATGTAAATATAGACATATGCTTTGGAAGGCTTTAATACCTATTTCCTTTTAGATGAATCATCAGTTTTCATTTCACTGACAATCTAGAAATATAATTCTTGCTCCTCTCTAGCCTATTTTAAAAAGAAAATATAAATTATTTCAATCCATCTATCGTTTAACCTTATTTTATTTTACCATTTATTCACCAGTGAATATTTAAATGACTGTTATTACCAAGTGTGATGCCAAGTGCTGAGGATGCCAAGTTGACCAGGGCTTGGGGAGATCCACAGAACTTGTGAATTTTTCAGAATATTACTCAGATCACTAGAGTATAGAATCTTGCCCATCTAGTGGTCAATAATGTGCAAACTTTAGATCATATGACTGTATCTGGTATGAAAAAATCATTGATACATACTCTATAATGCATTACATGTATTCCTATAATAAATACGTGTTTTATTACTATAAGCTGAAATTTTAAAGTTAATTTTTGTGTGAGACTAGGGCTTTGACAATCCCAAATTTGCATTTTGACAAATGCATAGAAACACTTCAAGAGCCATGTCTTCATCACTAACATATTTTCGTCTATGGATCTGAATCACTTAATGCTTAGTCTTTGTTTTACTTGCATTCTAAAGAAAAGCATTAATTTCTAGATTTTAGCTATTCACTCCTCTATCCACCAATATACCACTCTCACATTTCTTAATAAATTAAATATAGGCCGGGCGTGGTGGCTCAAGCCTGTAATCCCAGCACTGTGGGAGGCCGAGGCGGGTGGATCACGAGGTCAAGAGATCGAGACCATCCTGGTCAACATGGTGAAACCCTGTCTCTACTAAAA